AACTAACATAATGGGGTCAAAACTTTGAACAGTTTTCCTGACCAAACCATGGGGACCAAATTTCCCAGATCGTGCCTTCCTCCTATATTTTGGGTGCCAGAATTCTGAATCCGTCGAGAAAGACCCTACTTTTTTTCAGAGAAAGTACGTTTTTGTGTCTAATTTCGTAACTTAAAATATCATCTGTGCTAATTAATTTGCTCTCGTTTTCCCAATGGTTTACCTAATGGTTCGTATTAAGATTAAGTCTCAGAACCTAAAGATTCGAACATTAGGGGTAACTCGTTTCTTTTTCTTTCGCACTGCAAAATATATAATTCATTTTTTTTATTAATTTTTAGCTTTAAAATCTATGCAAAGTCATAAAAAAAAACTGCAGCGTGAAATTTGTGATCATATTTGACAAGATTTGAAATAGTTGACATAATAGATTAAAAATTAAACTGTACTTACAGCTGAAGATTCAATTATTAAAAATCATCCTTCGTTTTAGCTTCATCATTTCATATCAGGCAATTCAAAAGAAAATGGATTCATCTCAGTCCGGCAGATTCCTAACATCAAGCATCTCACTTTGTCAGGTTATTCCCTATTTGTCGGACTATTCAGCAGACAAAGCTTAGTAACATTGGAATAATATAAACTAGAGACAGGATTGATAACAAACAATTTAAAGTTCCAAAAAAACATAGAAAAATTAAAATTGGAAAAAGTAAACGTTAATGACATTAAAACAATTGAAACACAGTAACAAGGATAACGACTGAAAAGAATCACTTAAGTTACACAGAGAGGAGAAAAAAAAACTGAAACATACATGGGATGAAAAACTAATTTACATTGGATAAGAACCTGAAAAGAGCAGAACTTTAAAAGAAAAATTCTAGAAAGATCTATCAGGTACATTAGAAAAAAAAATTTGGAGAAAATAAAAAATTAAAGCACATAAAAAAATCTGCAAACATAAAAAAAAAAAACTAAAAAGAATTGGAATAAAACAGAAAAACAGGAAGAATTAACGAGAAATAAAGTACAAAAAAATAAAAAGGTTGAAAAAATGATTTTAAAAAAAAGTTAAACCTGTGAAAATTTAAAATCAATCGTAAGCAAGGACGGGTAATGTGAAACACGTTGTTGGGTCTATAAAAACAAATAAATTTGATCAGATGCACACACACAAATATTTTACCAATCAAAATCAACTAGAGTACACAATGGAAAAAATCTAAGAAACATTGGAAAAAATGTGATACACCATTTGGAAAAACAAAACACTCATTCAAGAAGCTGAAAAAACCTAGAAGGAAGAAAAACATTGAAAAAAAAAACAATAAAAAACATGGGCAAAAAACAAATACACATTGAAAAAACAAGAACTTTCATCTGAAATGAAAAGATAACACATATTGGAATTGAATAAGTAATAGTGAATAATAAATTAATAACCAGTAAAAAAGAAAACTCGTCTAATCAAAAAACGAAAATCTGAAACATAAAAACAATTAAATACAAATTTTTAAAATAAATTTCTTAAAAAAAAACTGAAAAGCGGAAAATATGGCACACCGAAAACAAAGTGATTCACATATAAATAGAGATGGAAGCTACGAAATATGAAACATGGCGATAAAACATTGGTGAGTGTGATCAGTTTTAATTCAATGAAAGTATTACCCATCGAAAAACACGCTGAAAAAGCTACAGAAAAAATTTAAAAAAATGCAAAACAAACTTTAAGCATACATTGAAAAAAATAGAGCACACACACATTGGAGGAAACAAATTGGAACACAAACAGGGGAAGAAAAAGTAGGAGCACGACAGGACGAAAAAATTTGGATAACATACAATGGATGAAAATATTTGAAGCACAAACACTGGATAAAAAATTTGAAACACAAACACTGGGTGAAAAAAATTTAAATGAATACAAGAGGTGAAAAAATTGTAACGCAAACAATTGGTGAAGAAATTTGGAACACAGCCACAGGATTGGAAAAAAAAATTTACGTAAAACACTGGAAAAAGTTTGAAACACAAATTGAAAAAAAAAATTAAACCAAACATTGAAAGCAGAAAAAATTTAAACACACATTGAAAGAAAAATAAAATGAAATACACATTGAAAAAAAAAATTGCAACTTACAATTCTGAATTAGAAATTAAAAGCTGAAAAAAAAATATTTGAAAATAAAATTTTGAACACACACCAGAAATAAATCAGAACACAAATTGTGAATACAAACAGATATATTGAAAAAAATAACAGAATCTATATTTAAAAAAAACGAATGAAAAGCTGGAACTCAATGGATAACACAAGAAAAATAATTAAAGAACAGGGAATCCTAGAAAAAATTTAAAAAAAACAACAATTGGGAAATTCGAAAACAAAATTGAAGAAAATGAAAAAATTGAATACAAAAAATTGAAAATATGGAAAAAAGGAATGCGTAAAAACCATACATAAAGAACTGCTTAAACAAGGCGATAAAACAAATTGCGATTGGATCGAATGCATTTGAAAAAAATTTTAGCAATTAGAAAATATTGAAAAAATTAAAAACACACATATGGCACACACTTTGGAAAAACACATGCATACACAACTAATTGGAACCCCAACACTGGATAAAAAGAAATCAAAACATTTGAAACACAAACACTGGAAGTAAAAAAAAATTGGATCAGAGATATTGCATGGAAAAATTTGGAACATAAATTCTGGAAAATTTGGATCACAAACACTGGATTGAAAAATTTGAAACACAAGCATAGGATCAAAATATTTGGAGCACAAAAACCAGATGAAAAAGTTGAGAACACAAACACATGAAAAACTGGAAAGATCAAAAGTAGAAATTGGAAAAATTTTAAAAAAATTTAATGCAAAAAATTTAAAATTTAAGGAAAAACTGAACACGTAAGAAATACATAAAGGGGGAGTAATTCAAAATACAAGACGATAAAACGAAGAGGGAATTTGATCAAATGTACAATCAAACGAAAATGTTACCATTCGAAAAACGCTTTGGAAAAGCTACAGAAAAACATTGAAAAAATGCAAAACATTGAAAGTAATTACAAAAAACCACTGAACAAAGAAATATGGAACACAAACACAAGACGAAAATATTTGGGACACAAACACTAGATAAAAAATTTTCGGAATACAAACTATGGGTGAAAAAATCTGGAACACTAACACAGGGTAAAGAATATTTGGAACACAGAATGAAAAAATTTGGAACATAAACACAGAAGGAAAAATTTAGGAGTATAAACACTGGCTAATAAAAAATTGGAACACAAACATTGGAAGAAAAAAACTGAAATGCACTTGGAAAATGAAATTGGGAACACATATTAGAAAATAAAATTTGTAACACACACTGAAAAAAAGAACAGAACACAGAGTAAAAATAAAACTTACCCAGGAAATAAAAAATTTATATCTTTGAAATAAAAACAGATCATACTATATTGAAAAAAAAAATGGAACAAAAAAAGAAAGAGAAAAAAGCAACGAAAAGCTAAAGGCAATGAATAAACCAGCAAAACAATTAAAAACAGTAAATGGTAGAAAATATTGAAAAACAAGAATGAAAAACTGGAAAGATCAAAAGCAGAAATTGGAAAAATGAAAAAGATTGAATATATCTGGAAAAACTGAACACTTAACAAATGTATAAAGAGGGAGTCGTTCAAAAAACAAGGCGATAAAACAAAGGGGGAATTCGATCTAATGTACTTGAACAAAAACCATTCGTACTTGAACCATTCGAAAAACACCTTGGAAAAAGCTGCAGAAAAACATTGAAAAAAAGCAAATCACACTTAAAGTACACATTGAAGGTAACTAATTTCAAAACAAGAACGAACGAAAAACTATTGAACAAAAACATAAGACGAAAATATTTGGGACACAAACACAGGATAAAAATTATTAGAACACAAATACAGGATAGAAAAGGATTGTTACAAAAAACATTGGAGAAAAGTTTGAAGCACACATTGGAGAATAAAAATTGGACCAAACATTGAAAGCAGAAAAATTTAAACACACAGTGAGACAAAAATATTGAAACACAAATTGAAAGAAAATAAAACGAAATACACATCGAAAGAAAAAATTTGAAACGTACATTGAAAATTGAAAGTTGGAAAATAAAATTTGGAAATGAAGCCGCAAATGGATCAGAATGCATATGGAAATAAAAACGCATCATATATTGAAAAAAAAAACAGAATACTATAACAAAAACTATACTATACTAAATACTATACTATACTATACTATACTAAATACTATACTATACTAAATACTATACTATACTATACTATACTATATACTATACTATACTATACTATATACTGTACTATACTATACTATACTAAATGTTAAAAAAAATCGATGAAAAGCTGAAACGCAATGTATAACGCAGAAAAATAATAAAAGAACAGGATATCGTAGAAATTTTTTTTAAAAAACTGGAAAATTCAAAAACAAAATTTAGAAAAGTGAAAAAAATTGGAAATATGGAAAAAATGAACACGTAGAAACCAGACATAAAGCTTTTCAATAAACAAAAAAGGATGATTAAACAAATTGCGAATTAGATCGAATGCATTTGAACATAAATGTTAGTAATCGGAAAATCTGGAAAAAAAATTGCAGGAAAATATTGAAAAAAATTCAAAACACACATACGGAATATTCTGGAAAACACACACACACACACACCACACATTGAAAGCATCTAATTAGAACACCAACACTGGGTCTAAAAGGTTAAAACACAAACACTGGGAGAAATAATTTGGAACACCGGATAAAAACATTTGAAACACAAACACTATAAGAAAAAAACTGAATCACAGATATTGGATGGAAAAATTTTGAATACAAAAAAAACTAGATTAAAAATCTGGAACACAAATTCCGGAAGATAAGATTTGAATCACAAAAACTGGATGGAAAACTGCATGGTATAGCACCATGCAGAACTTAAGGATAAATAAGTGTCTTACCTTACAAGTGAGAGTTTACTTACTGACATTGCTAAGTACGTAACCATTTTCTGAACCTCAAGTAAGAAATCTTTTAAAGTGAATTAAAACTTACCGACAATATTCAGTTACTCTACACTGATTTCATTCATGTACGTCAGACGGGTACTTACTGGAGTTCTCAGAAATTTTTCTTCAGATTCTAGGGAGGAAAAATTAAAAAAATTAAATTCTATTGATAATGGGCAATCAAAAGAGAGTACTGCTGTCATGTATCCATACTCGTTAATTTTTTCCATCTTTAAAAAGAATAGTTTGTTCCTTAAGCATAACATTCTTTGATTAAATATACACGGCAGTCATGCATTAATACTCATTAATGTTTCCATTTTTAAGAAAAATAGCTAGTTCCTTAAGCATAACACGCTTTATTTAAACAAGATATATTTCAAAATAGAAGAGAAAAAAAAACATTTTTGCAGTTTTCAAGAATAGGTTGAATTGTGTAGTCTAATTCTGTGGATTTTTATAGTCGTGAAACTCTTTAAGACTATAAAAATTAGTTTTCAGTTGTAACCTTAATACTAAAGTGCAAAATGAAACATTTAAGTAATCTTTCATTAATTCTGCAATTTACTCCCAATACTTGATCCATTTGAGGCAAACCGGGTTCGAATTCCAGTCGATACGAATGCCGCATCCGTCTTGCACCGACCCCAGTGCTGGTGTGAAATATCCTCAGTGGTAGACGGATCCTGGGTCAAAGTTTCCTTGCCATCAGGCTAACCGTGGGAGGTTTTCTTGGTTTTCCTCTTTATATAACGCAAATGCGGGTTCTCCATCAGAAAGTCCTCCACGAAGGCAAATTTCATCCAATACTCGATCCAGGAGTTCCCTTGTCTTCAGGACTGTGTTAACAATTACAAGGCTAGGGAGTTGTACATTAGTAGTCGTAAACCCATAAACTAGGGTCGGCTGTTTAATGATGGTTATAAAAAAAAATACTTGATCCAGGAGTTCCCTTGTCTTCTGAATTGGGTTCAAAATTACAAGGCTGTGGAATTAAACATTAGTAGTCATAAAACCAAAATTTGGGTCTGCTAATCAACGACGGTTGTAAAAAATATATCCCTAAGAATTACAGTGATCGCTTTTATTAACTTGTATTCTCATGGCAGAGTTACCAACATAATTAAGATAAAGAAAAAATAGCCATCTTGTAGTTAAAAATAGAACTTAGGCGAAATATTCATATTTAAAATAAATAAATTAGTAATCACCACAATAAATCATATAGTAAAGTTCATTTTTTTTAAAATTAAAATATTAGTTAAACAGAATGAATTTACAAGTGAGAAGCTCGGCTTGGAAAATTCACTTCGGAATGAAACTTGGTTTATTAGAAACATAGCTTATGGTTGTTCTTGTTGTAGTTGTAGTTCATTTTACGTCGCACTAGAGCTGCACAATGGGCTATTGGCGACGGTCTGGAAAACATTCCTGAGGCCTGAGGATGATCCGGAGACATGCCATCACAATTTTGATCCTCTGCAGAGGGGATGGCACCCCCCTTCGGTTAGCCCGACGACCTGCACGTGAAGTCTAGCACTTTACAGTAGAACAGTTTAACGAGGACTCATACCGCACATCCTTAGTCCCTACACAGACTAATCCAAGTGGTCACCCACCCGCACACTGACTGCAGCCAGTGATGCTTGACTTCGGTGATCTGCTGGGAATCACATAGCTTACGGGTGGAGTGAGATTGGCTTATAAAAAGAAATTAATTTAGCTTATTACCTGAAGCTTATTTGACTTTTAAAAAAACTTTTTTTGGGGTAGAAGGTGGAACGCGTTTTGAAAATTACCTACTGTAAAAAATTGATAACAAACTTTAATTTCTGCACTTATCAATAACCAAATTTATTAATTCTGTGTTCATAACTACAAATAAATCGATAATACGGAATGGAAAAACGCACAATACGCAGAGGCGACAATATCTTCCGAGCATTCACCTCTCTTCCTGATCCGACGCTAACCGTTACTGTTACATAGATTTATGAAAACAAAGGTCTTCATTGTTTTTTTTCTTCTCCTCTTGTGATTTCTGAAGTTATCAACGTCTATAATTTTATAACCGTCATTGAACAGCAGACCCAATTAACGGTTAACGGATACTAATGTTCAACTCCGTAGCCTTGTAATTTTGAACCCAATGCAGTAAACAAGAGAACTCCTGGATTTCTGGCAGAGATTTAGCCTTTGTGGAGGACTTATCGATAGAACTAACCAGCATTTGCGTTTCATGGAGAGGAAAACAAAGATAGCCACCCATATTTAGCCTGATGGTAAGGACATTGTAACCCATGATTCGTCTATCATTGAAGATATTTTACGTCAGCACTATAGTCGTTGCGAGCAGAGTGCGGAATTCGAATGAACCAGTTATCGCTTGGATGGAATAGAATCTGGGTCACGTCATCGGGGATCGAGTGCTCTCTGCCCTGAGCCACCACTGCTCAAGCCCCTATGATTTCCTAAGGCTGCAAAAATTATCGGCGAGAAAATATATTCCCATCAACATTATGAATTTGGATTTAATTATATTTACCACGACATTATAAGAGATTAAAAATATTTAACTGATTTGGAAATGTTACTCCAATTTGAAGATTTAGACTTAAGGTATTTAGTTAAAATATAAAATTGAGTAAAAGAGATGTTGAGTTCTTTAATTAAACAATAATAAATAATAAAAAAAACGTTTTAGGGAAAAAAAGTTAAAACAATTGAAGATCAAAATGAGAGAATGCTTTTTGCCTATTTTTCGCAAAAATGATGACTGACTCTCAGTCTGTAACAATTTGAGTATTAGATAAATCAATAACAGGGAAAACCAATGCTCCCCGAGAGTTATTATGGTGTGAAAATTGGCCATGCTGTGGATAAACGGTTAGTGTCCGCGTGAATTCGTTTTATTTATTTATTATTTTTTTTGAGAATCAGCTTTTATGAACCTTAACCGTTCTTGCCACTAATCTCCAATTATCAAAAGTATATTCAGCACCTTTCCAAATCTTTGGTTATAGAGTTTTCAATTTCAAGTGTTTTTTAATAAAATCCTTAAGAGATTAAATAAATTTTTTGAAATGATACATCTAAATCTTAAAATTTCTAACCTCATACTGTAATAACGAGAAACCGCCTATTACTACCAGTTTCCAAGCGAGCAACAAAGAGACCAAAAAAAAAAAAAAAATATTACATTCGTAAAAAGTAAAAACTACCATTATTCTTTCCTCTATTGCAAAAAAAGAAGAAAAAAAGAGGAAAACGCGTTTTTGCTACTTTTCTAGTGAGTAATGAAAAAAAAAGCAAAAATAAAGAAATAAAGGCATTATTATTTATTTCTAATATCCATACGCAGGAAAGTTAGAAATCAACACCATTTCATTTTTTATTATTCTTACTATCTTCACCCGTTAAGTTTAAAGAGGGAAGATAGTAATGAGCGCGATCAACAGCTGAGTTACTTTTCTTTTCGCAGAAGAAAAAATCTTTTATCTTCAGGAATTCTGCTAAACACTTCTAAATAATGCGCTTTTTGTTGGTCACTTAGATCTACCAATCATTTTTCTACTCGGTTTGCAATACAAATCAACATTCAGTGGTATCAATGACGTCACACTATTACACTCTAGTCCATTTTGAACAGAATATTACAAAAATTCTCAAAAATTGACATTTTTATTACTCAACCCTAATTCTTATTACGAAACAGTAATAATTACGGATAAATGGTAATGGCATCTCTTTAAATAGAAGAATAAATAGAAAGTTTCAAAATCGAAAGCTATTTCACTTCATTAATGTGTCAAAGAATTATTTTTTAACATTCTAAAAACAAAAATGTAGATTTTCTTAATTATCAGGAAATTTTCAGAATGTTTTATTTAAAACCAATTAAAATTAAAATAAAATTGGAAAATAGGTATTTGTGAGCCTGCTCAGCCTTTCTTGCCTTTATACATAAATTATTATTCGTAAAAACTGAAAATGTTAAAAAGCAGTAACATTGCATTTCCCTAAGCTCTAATAATAAGAAACCATAAATTGATGTGTTAAAAATCTATGTTTAGAAGTGAAAATTATCACTAACATTTTTCATAATTGAAATAATTACTCACAGAAAAAGCTATCATTTACATAAATAAATCCTTACATTAAACAAATTTGGGCTTAATACCAAATTACCACTTGCAAAAAAAAAAAAAACTTTTATTCAGTATTTCTGCTACACACTTCAAAATAACCGCTTTCTGCTGGTTGCATTGCTCTACATTCATTTATCTTCGCGGTTTGCAATACAAGTCAGTGGTATGAATGACGTCACACTATTTCACTCTAGTCCAGGGTTGGGCAAACTACGGCCCGCAGGAAGGTTTAATCCGGCCCGCGGATAGAATTTTAACTGGCCGATCCGTAGCGAATATAAACAATATACATTATGCATCCATTTTCTTCTCTACTGTGTTTAAAGCAATTTTTGCTCTTTCTTTTTCTAACAAAGTACTGATAACCTTTTTACTTTCTATATTTTTTTTTCTCTATAAAACATAAACTGATGGATATATAGCTAGTAGAGACAGCTTCAATTGGTAAAATGCTGAAAGCAGAAGTTCTTTATAGGATAGCCGTAGATAGGCTCCAACGAGCGTTTGTCTTTCTCGAGGAGCAGGCATACTGAATCTAATATAGGTGAATCGTACTTCACATGTGGCAGACTGTGCATTTTAAGCTTTAACAAGCAGATTTCTCTGCTTGGGCGAGTTCCAACATAATTTATTGCATATTGAAAGATTGCACACATATAACGTTATTGTAAATAATGGAAGTTATGAAATGTATAAAATAGCTAGTACTTGTTTGAGTTATTTGAAATATTTTTTAACCCCAAAATGGCTACTAAAAACGCAAAATTGATTCAGAGTGCGGTGCGTTCAATGATGAATGAACTTAGAAATATTTTTTGACAGATGTAAATGATAAACCAGTATGTCTTATCTGCAATGAAGCTGTATCAGTTTTTAAAGAACACAACATTAACCGACATTTTACTGTCAAGCACAAGAATGTAAACTACGAAGCAATGTCTGAATGTGAAAGAAGACAAAATGCAAAAAGTCTTCATAAAGAATTATCAGGTCCAAAAAATTTTTTCAAGCAGATAAACAGTGTTCAAGAAGCAGCTACGAATGCAAGTTACATTGTAGCATCCAATATTGCTAAAAATAATAAATCTTTCGGTGATGGCGAGTTTGTTAAACAATGCATACCCCAATTTTGTGATGTTTTATGTCCAGACATGAAAAATAATTTTGAGGCTTATCGCTAAAAATGGTGACTTCTAGAATAGAAGCCATCGATTAAAATTTGATATCACAATTAGAGTCAAAAATTGCACAAATTACATTTTGCTCTATAGCTATGGATAAAAGCACTGATATAAATGATACTGTTCAATTAGTGTTATTTATAAAAACTGTTGATGAGATCTTTGAAATTACCGAGGAACAGGCGTGCATGCGCTCTTTAAAAGGAACTACAATGAGATGTGATATTTCTCGTAAGGTTTAGGAATGACTTTTAAATTTGAAAGTGCCTGCAGTTTTTTTCAGATCTTTTTTGTCATATGAACAACTTCAATGTTGAGATGCAAGGGAAAATCCAATTGTTCGATGATATCTGGACCTATCTCAAAGCTTTTAAACTGAAGCTTAATTTGTTTGCCGGGCAACTAACTAGAAACGACTTGTCTCATTTCTCGAGGTTAAATTCAATACCCTCAGTGAATAAGGAAAAGCATAAGAATTATAAATATAGCTTTGAGAAAACTCAGATTTTAGTGCCATTCAAACAGAATTAGATATTTTTACCATGTCTTTCAAAGTAAATTGTGAAACAGTGAGGTCGGATTTGCAGCTTTGAATTAATTGACAATACAACAATCTTCTAAGCAGTTGTTTCGAAATATGTCAAAGTTTGAGTTTTATAAATCTTTGCCAAAAGCTAGTTTCCAAAATTTAATATCTCATGCCCAGAAAATCAGTGCTATGTTTATGTTTGCTTCATCTTATATATGTGAACAAATGTTTTCAACTATGAACCTTAGAAAAAATAATTTCAGAAGTATAATAACAGACAAGCATTTAGACTTGAAATAAGTACATCTCACTTCGAACCTCAATATAAGGAACTTATATAAATTAAATCGCAATTTTATTCCTGTCATAAAATATTTAAATTAAAACTTGCATATTGTTTCCTTATTTTAAAAATTTTCACTTGGCCCAACGAACTTTTCTTTTTCGATTTTTGGTCCTCGACCAAGAGAGTTTGCCTATTCT